CCATTCGGGGGGGGAGGGGGGGACTCCCCTCGCCACGGCCGCGCGCAGCTCGCAGATCGATGCCGCCCAGGTGGGGCCCGAGCAGATGGGGCCAGAGGATCGCGCCGCATCGCCGATGCATTGACACCCCCGTGGAGCAGATCGGGCCCCACATTGAGTCGCACCCCCAAACATGATCGCGTCGGAAACAAAAATCCGGGCGGGAGATGTTTGACCATTTTCGGCCCCGGGGGGCCCTCGCCGAGCCTCGGGACCGTCAGAAAACGACTCAGGACGAAAAACCGGCCCCGGGGAAAGGGTCGGGACTTCCAGGGACGCCGTCCTGAAAAAATCCGCCGACCCCTTAGTGATCATCGGCGTGTGAGATGCTTCCCCCTCCCCCCCCCCCCCCCCCCGAAGCCCAGTCTGGTCGATTTGGAGGGGGGGCCGTCCGTCCCAAGCTCACCAGGGGGGTCCGGCCCTTCCAGGGCTCCTTTTGCCCGGGCTGCGTTTGGAGGTCGGGGCCGCCCAAGAGGCCCCCAAGGCAGTCCAAGAGGGCCCCGAGACGCCGAAAGATCGTTCCAAGACGCCTAACTTGGGCCAAACGATCATTCCAAGACGCCTAACATGGGCCGAAGACGGCCCAAGAGGCCGCCAAAGACGTTCCAAGAGGCCTCCCAGGAGGCCTCCAAGAGGCCAAAATCGTCAAACTCCCATAACAACGCGTATACACTTCTAGCACATACGATTGTTCCGCCCTCACAGCGCGGAAGCCCTTCCTAAGAATCAGGACGGCGCACGTCTGAGCTGACGACACCAGCGTGGAGCCGATCGGGCCCCACATCGAGTCGCATCACCGATGCGGCGCGATCCTGCGACCCCACCTGCTCTGACCCCACCTGGGAGAAGGAGGAGGAGGAGGAGGAGGAGGAAGAAGAGGAGGAGAAGGATAAGGAGAAGGATAAGGGTAAGGCCCTTGGGGGTCAGGAGTAGGAGGAAGAGGAGGAGGAGGAGGAGGAGGAGGAGGAGAAGCCACTGGGGCTCAGGCCATTTTGGCGGAGCACAGGGCTCAGGCGCCGCGCCCCCCTCACGGCAGTTGCTAGTGAAAGTTCCCGCGGCTAGGCCGGCGGCTGAGCACCAGAGGGCGCGCGCGACCCACGGCGCGCTCGGGGCGCCGCAGGGGCTCCCCCGAGCCAGCCTGGCACAAGAGGCAGCGGGCACAGCGAGGGCGAGCTCGCCTTCTCCTCAGTGTGTTCCAGGCCAAGCGCCTCCTCGAATCGCATCACAGCACGATGGGTGGAGGTACTTGGACATGCAGGCAGTGCGAGACAAAAAATCCTAACTCTCAGTGGACATGCTCATGTGGCAACGTGTGGGCTCCTCGCCCCGATCCCACCAGACGTTCGGCCAGCAGAAAAAGGGACCAGAAGAAGTCCGCCAGCATAAGGGAGTTGATCGCACAGATTCCTGTTGCAGCACCTGATGAAGCGATTGCCAACATCACGGTGTGGGAGCCGCCGCCACCAGAGGCGGACGAGCTGAAGTTCTACAAGTCAAGGGCCCAGTCGAAGCTCCAGAAGTTCGCCAACCTCCTCGTCGCGGTCCGTGACGCAGGGAAGGAGGATCCAGCCCTGGAGTTCGACATAGGGGTGCTCAAGTACATGATGAGTGCATGCAAGGGCTCAGAGAAACAGTTGCATGAGTTGAAGGCCCAGCTCATCAGCGCAAAAGAGAGGCTCGGCAAGATACGAGCTAAGATCGAGGAGCTGTTAGACGAGGAGGCGACGCTCTGCCTGATGGTGCAGAAGCTGCAGAACTCCATCCAGCAGCTACGAGAAGCGGAGGACGCACCAGATCATGAGGAAGACTGGTTGATGGCCCCGCCAGGAGGAAGTGAACATGGTCTCAGAGCAGCCAGCAGTGCCCAGAGGCCGTGGGTGCAGGCGGCGGCTGAGAGGGCGGCAGCACAGGCGGAGGAAAAAGCTCAGTCAGCCAAGGCCGCGGCGGAAGCAATTGCCAGCAGAGTGCCGCCGCCGCCGCCACCAACGCCCAATCAGCCCATGGCACAGACTCAGGCATATCAGCCACCCCAGAAGGCAGCACCAAGGGCAGCCTCAGGGGCGCCGCGCAGCCAGCCAGCCACTGCAGCCGCTGCGCCGAAGGCTACAGAGCCCGACGGCCCGCGCGCAGCATGGCACAGTGGACTGCGTGCGGAGGGGCAAGAGGGCCCAACGGCGGCTGCCATCACTGCGATGACGGAGCAGATGAGAGCCGTGCAGGCCCAACAGCTAGCCATCCAGGAACACCTCTCGAGGATGCAGACGGGCCAGAACTTCCATGCCTTCGCCCTGGCCAGGGTATTGGGAGTCGGCATCGGTGCAGCAGCAGGTGATGTCCTCATGGATGCGCAGACGATTCAGAAGGCACAGCGGGCGGTGATCTCGGGACTCTCGATCCCTAGTGCGAGCCCCCCTGATCTTCAGGGGTTGGCGCCTGAGCGCACGCAGAGGGACCCCGCCGCCACGGCGCCAGGTTTTGGCGAAGCCCCCCCTGGTGCAGCGCCAGCCACGGGGCCGAGGGCGCCCACGCAGCGCAGAGCGAGCTCGCTAGAGCCTCCCGTGGCAAGGACACCGCCGCCGAAGAGACAGTCGGCATCGCCGAAACCAGCCAGGGCCCCCTGCAGAGGCGTCTCAGCCGAAACCAGGGCCCAGGCCGAGGAGAAGGCAGTTCCAGACACACCGAGGGCGAAGGGCGTGTCCAGGGTGACAGCAGAACTGCAGAGGAACGAGCCCAAGGAGGAGGTCCTGCCGATAGATCAAGAGCTACTGATCGCGACGCAGCCAATGGTGATGGAGGAAATGATACCTGGGCCAGTGCACATCTTGCAGCACATCCAGGGGGCCTCCATCGACCTGATCAGTCAGACACAGCGCTCTCCCACACCACCGCCGGCGCAGAGGTCGCCTGGATCGCCAGTGGATCCTCCGCAACCAGTGCCAGCGGCGTTGTTCCCCCCCGCGTGGGCAGCAGCAGCAGCAGCGGCAGCAACATCCTCAACGGCAGCATCGTCAGCAGCGGCAGCGCCTGCGGCAGTGCCCGCGGCATCAGCAGCGGATGCACCTCCTGCGGCTTCGAGGACCCGACCGCTAGAGGAGGAGGAGAACAAAGAGAGGGACATGGGAGACTCGCCCAACAGGTCCCCCCCCAAGAAGATGCAGTGCCAGGGTTACGAGCTGGAAGACGGGTCCAACTTGTAAGGCCCAGCAGGGTCTCATGGGGCACTGTCGAAGTGAATCGCTTTGAAGCGCATGCACCTATAATTGTCCGACAAGCCAGGGGCACGCTTTCTCGGACCTGTTTCACTAGGCCGATTCTTAGGTCGGCCCATGCCTCGGATATCTCGACCAGGGGATGTGGTCTTGGGAATTCGCAGCCAGGCAATATTTCTTCGGCAGCCACTTCAGGTGATGCCACTGAGGACTCATCATCAGCTTCCACTCGGTCCAACGGCCGAACGAGGTATCGCTTGCGGGGCAAGGCCTCGAAGGAGCATCTTTTCTTGCCTCGTCCTCGCGAAGTACAGCACGCTGCACATGGGGTGCGAGGACACGAGGCCAATCAAACGTCAATTACAGTTGCGGTGGTGACTGCCCCTCCCCCCCCGCCGCCGCACCCCGCTCCAAACAGGGAGCAGCTCGAAGCAGTTGCCGGGGGGAGTGCGATGGCGTTGAGGGAGGACGGTGGGTATACTACCTCCCTTCGTCTGTTCCCTTTACTTTTCCAGTATCCTGAGAGCAATGGCAGTGGGCACTGTGATTTTCAGGAAGCGGACAGGATATATCAGGTTTTTACTCCAGAACATCAACTGGTTTGAGCTTTGCAATGACGATTTTGGAGATATTCCCTTACATCACACTGCCAAATTTGCTCTGGATATCTCTGCGCGCGGGGCACATAGAGCGAGAACAGTACATATCTATGTCGACGCCTCGTACAGAAAGACGCTCAGGGACTCAGCCTGGGCCTTTGCTGCTGTCGCGATCTCGCCTGACGACGCGGTGAGCTTCCTGGGGTGGCAAAAAATGAGCGCGTGGGAATCCACAGCAATGCAGTTCGAAAGGGACGACGTCACTAGCACGACTATCGAGCTCATGGGGATATTATGGAGCTCACTCTGGATCTTGGGTTTCTTCGGGCCGAACACGGTGCACTCCCCCCCAGCTCTGGCCATTTTTTGCGATAACCAGTCGGCTGTCAACATATCCTTGGGTTTGGAGGTCCCGTCGGAGAACCAACACCTGGCCTGGCTTACATACCATATATACCAGTGTGCGCTCAGGAGACACGGCACTTTGCTTTTGCATGTATGCGGTCACTCTGGGCATCCTTGGAATGAGTTGGCAGACAGTCTTGCACGATCGGACCGAGCGGCTGGGTGCTCACCCCCGCCGGCCTTGCGAGAGGCACTCAGGTACACGAACGACCTCGAATGGTGGTGGCTAAAGGAGGCACCTGCGGCCACAAGAGAAGCGTACCCTATAGGCCCCGACAACACATTTCGGTATCCTGGGCGCCCTCAAGTGTCGGTGGAGACGCTAAGGGATACTATGGGATCCCAACCCTCGCAGAAGACGACCCCCAAGTCTTGCCAGTTCAGTATCAGCGCGAGGCTTGCCACCTTCAACGCCAAGACAGGCAGGGACGCGGAGGCCACGGCGGCAAGACGCGCCAAAACGTCGGGAGAGGTTCTCAGGTTGCAGTTTGCTCAAGAGCAGTGCCACATCATTGGGGTGCAGGAGGCGAGAAATCCGTCGGGGGAAAGGTGTTCTGCTGGATACTTTGTGCTTTCCTCGGGATCCGATGGTGGCAAGAACTTGGGTGTCGAGCTTTGGGTCTCACTGCACCTACCCTATGGGCGACGTGGGGGCGAGGAGCTTTTCTTTGAGCAGAAACATTTTAGACCGTTGTACGCTACCCAGAGGCACCTAGTGGTTGGCTGTTGTGCCCCACTCTTTAGGAAGGTCATCCTGGTTGCCCATGCGCTGCACAACGGTGACGAGTATACCTCGCAGCAGAGGAAACAGTGGTGGCGGGACCTCATTGGGATCTGCCATAAATGGAAAGTACAGTTGGCCTTCCTGGACGCGAATGCCAGGCTCGGCAGCATTGTGTCTGAGGCAGTGGGCAGCGAAGGATTCAGGCAAGATGAGGACGAATCGGGCGGGCTGCTTCATGACATGCTCTTGGAGACGGGCTTAGCTGCGGCTAACACGCTAGTCCCCTCTCTCAGCAAGGACTCGTACACGTTTGTCTCGACGAAGTCTGAAACGCCACACAGAATAGACTACATTGCGGTTGAGCAGGACATGATTCCCGCATTGGGGCAACATCAAGTACGATATGATATTGATTCCTTTTGCACTGGCAAGGATCATTATCCTGTCTTCATGCGCTTCGAGTCCCAGGGCTCCACCAAAGCAGCGCAACAACAGAGCGGCTACGACGCTAGGGGCACCCAGGACCCTGATAAGGCAGCAGCCTTCAGGATGCACCTGGCAGCGTTTCCCACGGTGCCTCACCAGGTCGACATGAATCAGCACTTGCACGACATCATTCAATACATGTCCGTGGGTGCACAAGCTTGCTTCCCTAAACCCGCGCGTACTCCGATCAGGCCATATGTTTCAGAGGCTCTTCTGGGCATTATCATCTTCAGAAGGCAAGTTCGGCAGGCGTGGCGTCTCTGGGGTAAGCAGGACTCTAATGGGCTCAGGAGGCTGGTCGCCGCGGCGCTGGAGGCGGGGGCCCCCCAGAACATCACCGATCTCGAGCTGGACCTCCTGGTCTCTGAGCTTTTCCAGGCTTTCGCTGAGTGGGATAAGCAGATCTTGGCGGCAAGCGAGCTAGCCGCACACATGCTCGAGTTCCTGGTCAAGTCGAAGCCGGCCCTGAGAAGGGCCTTGAAGCTCTCGCGCAATGAACTGCTAGAAGACCTTGCGCAGCAGTTGTGCAACGCTAGGTCCTCAAACGAGAGTAGAGTGGAGTGGAGAGTGCTATGCCAGCTGCAAAGGTTTGGGGGAAAGCGCTCCAAGTTCCAAGTCGACGGGCTTAGGATCCGACGAGGTTCTCAGGGCGAGGTTCTTGCCACATCTGGAGATCTCTCGGAGGCCCTCACTGATTATTTCACTGTAATTGAGAATGGGCAGGCACTCAGCTGGGAAGAACTGGTTGAGAGATACAACGCCCTCCCTGAGCGTGGAAATTTATATCCCAGGGAGTTGGACATGATCACCCCCTTCCGCAGGCTCAAGCACGACATCATGAAGGCAGCCAAGAGGAGAGGTGCTGGGCCTGACGGGCTAAGCAATGATCTTTTCCAGGTCGCTCCGCATGAATGCACGCAGATATTGCTGCCGTTGTTCGTGAAAGTTGACATGGCGTCCAGAGAGCCCCTGCTGTTCAAAGGAGGTTGGCAATGTGATCTACACAAATCTGGGTCCCCCGAACCCCTGGAGCACTACAGAGGCATCCTGCTGGGATGCCACACGGCGAAGTTGCACCATGCCTTCCTCAGGAGTAAACTTCTAGAGGCAACGATGAACATGCTGTCGGTGGTCCAGCAGGGAGCTCTCCCTCAGCGCGGCACTGACATTGCATCCTTGCATCTTCGGTCGGCCATGTTGGCTGCCAAAGCTAGGAAGCGCACATACTTGTCGCTGTACACCGATCTAAAGGCGGCATTCTACTCGGTCATCCGAGGGTTCGTTGCCAGAATGGCCCAGAGCAGCGAGGACATCCAGAACACGCTAACGGGCTTGGAGATACCTAGTTGTCTGGAGCCCCTGTGCCATGCCCTAGTCGCCAAGCCTGGAGCCCTAGACGGACTGAGAAGTAAGCACCTTCTGGAAGCAGTGGTTGACGTGATGGAATGCAACTGGTTCCAAGTGCGGGGGAGTACCAGGGTCGTCTCCCCCGCCTAGGTACGAGACCAGGCATGCCACTAGCAGACCTCCTGTTCATCATAGCCTTCGACCCAATCATCATCGCGGTCAACAGTAGATTAGCATCCCTGGGATATCTTCAGAAGACTAAGGATGTGGTCCCGTCTCAGAGGATTTTCAGAGGGCGTGAACACGAGCATGTAGAGGAAGACGTATGGGATCCTGCCTTCATGGATGACCTCGTCAACGGCATCGAGCTGTTAGACGCTAGGCTCTGGAAGGAGGCGGCCATCGCCCTCGTCACGATCATGTGCGAAGAAACCAAGTCTAGGGGGTTCACCATGAACTGGAAGGCGGGCAAGACGGAGCTCATGGCCTTCTTCAGCGGCACAGGTTCCAGGAAGGCACGAGGGGAGTGCGCAGCCTTGGCTGCCACTGGCCTTCTCGCCCCCTCCTTAGGTGTCTCCCTGTGCCTCACTAGAACCTACAAACACTTGGGAAGTTACCGGGACCATCAAATCTCTCTGGGACCTGAGCTGGCGCACCGTTGTCATCAGCAGCGACGTCCCCTAGGGGTACTGAGGCGCACTGTTTTTCCCAGGAAGCAAGTCAATTTAAGGGCCAAGTTAATTTTTGTTACGTCTTTGCGCACGTCGCACCTTCTGTTTAATGCCCTCACCTGGCACAAGTTAAACGTGAAACAGATGGCGACCCTTGCCCACAACTATTTGAGCCCGTTTAGATTGGCGGCTGGGCTTGGGTACGACGCTGGCTCTGGCAAGGTTGCTGCAGACCATAGAGTTTTTGCCAAATGTGAGATCTTGCCCGTCGAGCTGGTACTGAGGCTCAGGCGGCTGCGATTTCTCCCCAGGCTTCTCACATCGGCGCCTGCGTGTCTGCTGGCGATCCTGGACGAGTTAGCCTCCTTGCCTGAATCATGGTCCGCATTGTGTTGCGATGACCTGATATGGCTCAGCAAACACGTGAATCTGGACAGGGCATTCTTACCGTCGGGGCCCCCTGCTTGGTGGCTGTGGCTCCTGAGGTCTAGCAGCAACAAGTTCTGGAAGCGAATTTGCAAGCAAGCTGAATCGGCTGCCAGGGCCAAGTTTTTGGACGATCAGCGCCACGAAGAATTCAAAGACGGGTGGCGTAAATGTTGCATCACAAAGGGTCTTGCGCTCCCGCCGTTTCTGCGTCCGCCGTCGGTTCTCGCCTTGTATCCCTGCTTGGACTGTGGGGCGGTGTTGGCCACCAAGGGCGCTTGGGCCTCCCATCGCTCGAAGTGCCACCCCCACCTGGATCCCGCCCCCAGTTATGCTTCAGGCACTGTGTGCATGGCTTGCGGTCTCAACTTCCACACGCATCTCAGATTGCTTAAACACGTTCGGCATGGCTCATCGAAGTGCCTGGCGGACCTTATGGCCGTCATCGCACCGATGAGCCCCGAACCACTGATGGCGGCTAAGGCGGAGGACGCGGAGCTAGCACGCACGCTTCGCGAGAAAGGCCATTATGCGGAGTCCGCGCAGCTCCCGCCTGTCCTCACGATGGGACCTAGGCTGAGGGGAGCGGCTGCCTCCAAGGGCCTTCCCACTTGCATGCCGAGAATTTCGTGCCAACCAGTATGCATCCAGGAAGAGATGCCCACGCAGGCAGAGGTCCACATGCCTGTGGCCCCTGGCACTAAATACATTGTGATCCTCCGTGCAGCTCCCAGGAGTCAAGGTGACATCCAGGACAGAGCGGAGAAGTCCAGTGCCATGGTGGGCATGAATGTTTTTGTTTTGTCTATTAATATTCGCGAGCTTTTTCAGGACTCCACTGAGGGACTCCATAAGGAGCTATTGCTCATTAGTGATCTCATTCTTGCTGGGCGTGTCATTGGACTCGTGGCGGATTTCTTCCTTTCCTCGTGGGACCCCACCCCCCGCTACAAAGTCAAGGGCGGTGAGTGCAGGCCTTTAAGGAGTTGCGATGAGCCGTGGGGAATTTCTGCCAGGTCGCCCTCGGAGTGGAAGCAGCTGGAGCTCGACAATGCCGGTTTGAGGGCGGCACTGACGCTTGCGCTGTGTGCGGCGTCCTCGGGCCTGGCGGTGCTGCTCTTTTTAAACCCACCTGCTCCGCAAGCCAATCTTCCCTGCATGTGGAAGGTCCCCGAGGTCAGGTTCCTGTGCTCCCTGCAAGATACGTCCCCGACGGTCACGTCGAGATGTGAGCCCATGGGGGACCGTCAGTGCCTGTGCATGAATGCCATGCCGATCATGGCCCCTACTGACAGCAGCCAGTTCGAAGTCTACGCAGCTGCTGTCATCACGCAGGCAGCCTCACAACGCTGTGCCCCCACGCCTCCTGGGGATGCATGGCTGGAGGCGTCAGTTGCCCATCTGTATGCCCCGCTCGATTTGTATTGCGAGTCGGGTTGATGCTGGCCATTGCTGCTCTCCTCGTCCACCGCTACACTTGCCGCCTATCTCACCGCTGACGTATGCATGCGTGGACACCTCAGACATTGGTCCCCAAGGGCTGCGGGAAGAAGAAGAAGGAGGAGGAGGAGGAGGAGGAGGAGGGCCAGCTCCGCGAGGGGCCCCGCACGCTGGGGGCACCCACGCGCTCCACCAGCCGTGCCTGGCAGGGGCCAATCACCAGGCCCCGGGGCGTCCCGCACGCGGGCCCCTCCCAGCCTAGCCGGGAGGGGCCTGCGCTGCAGAGGCACGAAAACACGACCCACCACCACTAACGATCGGAGCTCCGCGCGGATCTCTCGGATCGGCGCCGCGACCCCCTGGCGGCGCCTCTGGCGCCGTCCCTGGCGCGCTCCGCGCGCCAGGGAGGGGGGCCCGGCACCGATCCGAGAAACCTGCGCGGAACTCCAAAGAGTTGATGTTCACACCGTCTTTCCTCCTTCGATTCGGGAACACGTAAGACTCGGGTTCGGGGGCTCGAGTTGGCCTGACGGGACCAACATGAAAATGACGAGACCCAGTGGCGCGAACTCTCGCTGTAAGCATCCCACGTAAACTGGACCGTCAAAACCCAGGACGCACTCGTCATCGAGCGTCGGCAAACCCGAGCTCTGGCGGAGGAGGACGAGGATGAGGATGAGGATGTGGATGGGGATGAGGAGGAGGAGGAGGAGGAAGAGGAGGAGAGGAAGGAGGACGAGGACAATGACGAGGACAAGGACAAGGCCGAGGAGGAGGAGGAGGAGGAGGACGAGGACGAGGACGAGGAGAAGGAGGAGGACTCCGAAAAACATATGTTCACGCCGTCTTTCCCCCGTCGATGCGCACCACAGCAGGGCCCCGGAGGCTGGCCCCGGCCGGGCACGGCTCGTGGTGCGCACGGGCGCCCTCTGCGGTTCCAGGGGCGCCCGCTCTGCTGAGAACTGGGGTGGCGGCACGGCTCCTCCCGCGCGGGGGAGGCGCTGGCTCCTGAAATGGAAGGAGAGAAAAAAGGCGGCGTAAATATGGGATTTGGGGCGCTCCGCTCGGCATGACTATGGAAAATGGAAATCTGGACATGATAAGTCTGGATCTGCGCTGGACCCCTCTCCCTGGCGCGTGGAGCGCGCCAGGGGCGGCGCCAGAGGCGCCGCCGGGGGGGGCCCAGCGCGGACCCAAGGAACCCGCGCTGAGCGCCAAGAGTTTATGTTTTATGGCGTTTTGTATTGTGCGATGGAAGGCCTCCGCCGCCCAGCTCCAGAGGCTGCTGGGCGCACCCCGGTGCTCAGTACCCGCGCAGCGCGCTGCCAAGGGCCGAGGGCTGAGCGACCACTTCCCTGGGGGCGATTGTTCGTTCCGGTTCAGTCTCTGATGGTCCCACGGCCCGATGACGGGCCCATAAATCCAAGAAATTCCCCCGAAGCCAGGGACGTCCAGGGACCTCCGCAGAGGGGACCCCACGAGGAGGAAGCAGAGGCTGCTTGCCGACCTCCGCCGAACCCGCGGCGCGGCTACGCCCAGAACCGAGGATTAAAACTTCCAAGATCGAGCACCACCTGCTCCTCCTGCGCCGCCGCCCCTTTCCCCCCGCCCCCTCCCCCGGTGGGAGCCGAACGCGACGCCGACGACGACGACGACGACGACGACGACGACGACGACGACGAAAACGACGACGACGACGATGGCGGCGACGGCGACGGTGGCAGCGGCGGCGGCGGTAGCGGCACGGCGGGGGTGGGGGCGGCAGCGGCGACGAGCCGCCTTGGCGCATGAGCTCCCCACGGCCGCCGCCGCCCTGGCGGCGCGGCGGGGGCGCGAGGCCCACGCGAGTGCCCCGCGCCGCCGCCGCCGACGTCGCCGCCGTGGCGCCGCCGTGGCCGCCGCCCTCGCCGTCACCGCCGTCGTCGTCGTCGTCGTCGTCGTCGTCGTCGTCGTCGTCGGCGTCGTCGTCGTCTTCGTCGTCGTCGTCTTCGCCGCCGCCGCCGCCGCTCGCCGCCGTCGTCGCCCTGGTGGCCGGCGCCCGAGGGGAGGGCCAGCAGCAGGAGACGAGATCCTTTTCCTCCTCCTCCTCCTTCTTCTCCTTTTTTTCTTCGGCTTCTTATTCGTATTCTTCATCGTATTCTTCATCGTATACTTATTGTTATAGATAGTATTGATATTATCATTGTTAGTATTATTATTTGTAGTATCCTGCTCCTTCTCCTTCTCCTTCTCAATATCCTTCGCCTTATCCTCCTTATCCTCCTTCTCCACCTTCTCCTTGTTATTATCGCTATTATTAGCACTAGTATTAGCATGATGATTATTGGTATTCTTGGGATTTTGGTTATTTAGTATTACAACTGTTATTCTTACTATTATTATGCTTATGCTCCTGCTTCTGCTCCTGCTTCTGCTTAAGCTTCTTCGTCTTCGTCTTCGTCTTCGTCGACGTCGTCGTCGTCTTCGTGGTCGTATTCGTCATCGTCGTCGTCGTCAGCCCCCGCCTGCATCGACGACGACGACGACGACGGCGACGACGAAAACGACGAAGCCGATGACGGCGACAACGTCAGCGGCGGCGGCGGCGCACCTGTCGCTGGCGCTTGCGCCAGGCGCCGGCCCCGATAGAATGTGACGAGGGCTCGATCCAGCTCCCCCAGAATCCTACTAGGGCCTACTCTACCCTACTCTACTCGACCCTACTTATCTTTACTCTCCTCTTCTCTACTCTACCCTACTCTACTCTACCCCACTCTATCTACTCTACCCCACCGTACCCCAACATACTCTACCCTACGACTCTACGATGCTCCTATTCTACGCGGGGGCTTGGGGGAAGGCTCTTTCCAACATCGTTGATGAGTCTTTGGTGTACACTGGATTTCCTCCTCCTCCTCTTCCTCCACCTCCTCCTCCTCCTCATCATCATCATCAGCATCATCAGCATCATCATCAGCAGCATCATCACCAGCAGCATCATCATGATCACATCAGCAGCATCATCACCAGCAGCATCATCATGATCATCATCATCAGCATCAGTATCAGCATCAGCAGCATCATCATCAGCATCATCATCAGCAGTATCATCATCATTATCGTCATCGTCATCATCAACATCAGCATCAGCATCATCATTGTCCTCAGCATCAGCATCATCCTCGTCCCCCTCCTCGTCATCATCATCAGCAGCAGCATCATCATCATTATCATCAGCAGCAGCAGCAGCATCATCATCATCAGCATCAGCATCAGCATCAGCATCATCATCATCATAATCATCATCATCATCATCATCATCATCATCATCATCATCATCATCATCATCTGCAGCATCATCATCACCAGCAGCAGCAGCATCGTCATCATCATCAGCATCAGCATCAGCATCAACATCAGCATCAGCATCAACATCAGCATCAACATCATCATCAACATCGTCATCAACATCACCAGCATAATCATCAACATCATCATCTTCATTCATAATCATCTTCTGGTCGTCATCCTCCTCTCATACCGCTATTCTTGTCATCCCCTTCTCCCTATCCTCCCCCTTCCCACTCCCCCTCCCCATGCGCGCGGGAGCCCGCGCACATGGAGGGCCCAGCGCAGATGAGAGCCCAGAGAGCTTCCAGAAGCAAGGAGGGCAATGTAGGAGAGGTCGAGGGAAAATCGAGGTTTGAGGACCGAGGCCAATTGGACGTTTTGACGTTTGGAGTCCCTGAAGAGCCCCGGAGTAGCTCTGGAGGGAGGGAGGAGGAAGGAGACCCAGGATAAAAGTAGGAAAAGGGAGGGAGGGAGGGAGAGATAAGCAGGAAGGAGGAGGTAACATATCGTCACCGACTCGGCCCGTGCATCTGCAAGTTGCGAGGGCCGCAAGGAGCCCCCAAGCACTAATCTCAAACACTCGGAAGATGATTGTGAGATTTATGGTGCCCACGTAGCCAAGGTGTACTTTCACGAGACGCAGTCTGATCCTGAGGGAACAATATTGAAGAGTCTGATATCCATGCCAGGGCCTTCCTGACCTGGACAACCAGCGAGCTGGTCAAACAACAACTCATAGAGCATGCACATGCCACCCGCCGAATTCAGCCCTCAGCGAGTCACTCAACAGTCAGGGCGCCGCCGACTACGCCGACGACGACGACGACGACGACGACGACGACGACAACGACGACACGGGCGGCGGCGGCGGCCGCGGCGGCCGCGGCTGCGGCTGCGGCGGCCGTCCCCTGGGAGCCTCCGAGGGCCTCCGAGGCCATCCGAAAAGCTACGAAAACGCACGAGAGCTTGAGAAACCCTTAACATCTCGGCAGCGGCGGCGGCGACGGCGGCGGCCGACCCCCCGAGAGCTTCCGATGGCCTCGGGGGTGCCGCGAATTCCTGCGCACACGCGCGAGAGAGCTGCAGCAGTGCCTCCACAGATCGGCGGCGACAACGGCGGGGGCAGCGACGGCGGCAGCGGCGACGACGGCGGCTACGACAGCGGCGGCGGCGGCGCCGAGCTCGGGGATCTACTTTACGAGGCAACTACTGGGAGGTCTTCGTCCGAAAGAAGAAGATTAAGCCCCATTGGGGATTCTGTTAAGGGGGAGTAAGTCGGATTAAGCGGGAGTGGGCATCGGATTAAGCGGGAGTAAGCCGGATCAAGCGGGATTGAGCAGAACTGAGCGGGATTAAGCAGATTAAGCGGGATTAAGCTGGATTTCGGACCAAGGCACAATCAGAACTTGACCTCCCAGGAGTTGCATCGGGATCTACTGACCCAGGGTCAACCCGAACCTGGGTCAGTCGGGCTTTGCAGGATCCTGCAGGATCCTGCAAGATCCTGCCAGATCTTGCGCGCCAGCCCGGGTCAGTGCACCCCTGGCTCTGCAGGATCCCGCAAGATCCGGCGCTCTTCGGGAGCGGCAAAGAGGGGGGCGTCAAAGAGGGGGGGGTGCAAATCATGACCGGCGGCATGTGCGCGGCCTGGCGGGGGGGCCAGTGACGTA